TTTAACTGCAATTCGCCCGCCTACGCGCACTATAACACACATATAAAAATAAATAAAACATAATAAATTATTGAAAACAAGTAACAAATAGTTTTAATAGTTGTAATTTTTTTTTAAGTTTGCATTTCAGATTTTTCAAATAAATAAAAATGTTTACATATACATATTTAAAACAAATGAAGGAAAAGTTGCATTTTACAAATAAATAAAGTAGACACAAAGCACACACACACACTTGCACATAATTTAGCTTTCAACAAAATAAATAATCTTTAACATTTACATATTTGTATGTAAGTGTGTGTATGAGCATGCGTTTTGTGTATATATACAAGCGTATAACTGGATAACATAAATATGTATGTATTTAAAAGTAAATTAACAGCAGCATAAAATAAATAACAAAATTTTTGCTTGTGACACGCACTTTAATAACGATTTTAGTTGTTGTTGCTTTACAAAGTTTTCTATACATTTTCGCATCTCATAAGTTACATGGATATTATAATAATAAGCAGCATTTTTATTATAAAATATTTTTTCAATATTTTATTTTTTTTTATCTTCTTTTTTTTTGTTGTTTGTGTAGTTGAAATCTACATGTATATAATGTGTTGTTTGTGATGTAGTGATTAGTTGAACGGTAAAAGCTCCTTTCGGTTTTGCTGGTCCTCTAATTTCATTGTTGTTCTTGTTCTTGTATTTTTTGTAAGCATCATATGCTACCTCCGCGCATTATTGCTTCACCAGCAGTTGTGTTTTTTCTTACTAATACCGTTTTTTTTTTAAATAATTATATTGTTTCTTGTTGTTGTTGTATTAGTTAATTACATATGCAGTTAGCTGTATATGCGTGTGTTGGCTTACATACATAAGTATATAAGCGCCTAGTGTTGTTGGTTTATTATTTGTGTGTAGTATTTTTAGTGTTGTTGCTCATTCATTTAGTACAAAATCCCGTTATATCTGCTCTCTTCACTGTTCCACTACACTATTCGCAGCCATGCTCGCTTTTGCTTTTGTTAAATTAAATTTATTAATTTTCTTTTTATGTTTTGTAAAACTATTTTGCTATTAGCTTCTGCACTTAACCTAAAAACAATTTTTTTTTTTATTTGTTCTTTTGTATTTTGTATATTTTTTCACATTCGCAGCTGATTTATTTGTTTAGCTACACTTGTCTGCCATAATAATTTCTTTAGCAATACTAAATAGCTTTTTACCATTTTTTACTTCCATTTTTATTTACACTAATTTTATTGTGTTGTTGTTTTAGGACTAGCTTTCTCTCTTACTTTGTGTTATGCGCTTGTTTTTAACGCATTAGCATACAATAAAAACTTATTTTTAATAGCAATATGGTGTTCGCTGCACATATCCATACATATACTATATATGTATATAAAATATGTAATACATATTTATATGCGCGCATGTTTAGTTAGTATTTAAGGTATGTAAGTAGTTGTTTATACATTTTAAGGTCCGCCGGTGTCCTAAGTGCTATTGTATTATTTCTCATACATGTACATATGTATGTATATATGTATGTTTTTAATAAATAGTATAAATATTATTTTGTTAGTTGCTTATTTTTTTTTACTTATTTATTGGCTGTTAGTATTTAAAACAAGCGCACTCAAGTGTTAGCAGCGTTTACTTTTTGTAATTTTTCTTTAATAAATTTTCTTTACCAAAATATTAAGCCAAACATTACATAATATAATAAATAAAACAGCTACATACACATTTATGCTTCCATTTCGTATGATATAGGAAGGAGTCGGCTTTAAAATATATATATACATATATATAATTCTTCCTTTAAATAGCCAATAATATAACTTAAGCGTCTCGCTCGGCTCTTGACTTTCGACTCACGGCTTTAACGCTCACTCACTTAACTTACACATACAAATCGTACAAAATGAAAACCAATTTATATTTATACATGTAAATATATATAGCAAAACGATTCGTTTTGGAAAAAAATCGCTTATACACACTGTTATTCGATTTAATCACTTGCTTCAACATATCTTTTAAATATAACGGCATATAATTTTTGTTGCTTTCGGCTTTTTTACATTTATACAAGAAGTACAGTATCTATATTATGTATGTATGCATATATATAGACACATATGTATACATATTGGTAYATATCTTTGGACTCGATCGAAAATTGTACATTTTTACATGTAGAGATTTACAGAATTTGGCGTGTAAAAATAATCAGCGTCACATTGTTGCATATTTTGTTGTGTTTTGCTCTCTTTCTAAACATGTTGCACGCTGCACAGTAGTTAGGAGTTGCAAGTGTGTGTAGTTGTAATTGTAGTAGTAGGAGACGGCGTTAACTGTTCTTTTCATATATTTAGTTTTATTGTTTTTTTTTTTAGTTGGTTTCTTGTGTTTGCTAGTGGTTAATTAGCAAGAGTTTTAGGTAGCAGCATAAATAGTTTTAGAAATTTACTATATGTAGGTATGTATGTATGTAACTATGTGAGTTTTTGGGTTTAGTAATCATCATTACATACCGTATGTATGTTTGCGTGTATGGCCATTATTATAAGGTAAAAAATAAGAGAGTAGTCATATTAGGGTTAAGTAGCAGTAGCGTGTGGGTAGCGTGTTGCATAATCAAGGCGTATTAATGGCTGAATCACGTGTCTTGCTCAGCTTGTCCCACTTCACTTCAACCGAACTGGTTCGCATAATTTCGATAGAATTTCGCATTTGGTTTGCCATGGCCGTTGCCGTTGCCGTTGCCGGGCATATTAGTGGTCTTATGCAGCTTTGTTGCAGTTGCCATCATAGAC